ACTCAGCAAGCAGCCTGCCTGTTTACCATCCCTTCCCCTCCCTTCCTCCAGAGGGAAGCCCTTTTGGGCACCCCAGTTCCGGGGTGGGGTCTGAGATGACAGATTCCCCCTTCTACCCAGGGTGCTGACCCTAAAGTAAATGGGTTTTCCTTCCACCAATGCTTGGCACTGGTGTGCTGGCTTTGGAGTGGGGAGTGGATGAAAGGGGTCTGGGAACATGTCCCCCTCCAGTCCAATTCCGGATGGAACACAGGTTATTTCTTTGTGCCTTTCAGATGTAAATTTCTCATCTAGTCATCTTGCTCAAAACATAAGCTCCAGGAGCAAGATTCTTAGGGGGACCAAAGCAGGAAGGAACCAGCAATCTTTGTCGCTTGGTTTGCCCAACACCTCGTGGTATCTGGGAGAAAAAAAAGTTTGTTTGTTTTTTTTTTTTTTTTTTTTGAGACAGAGTCTTATTAAGCAGCCTAGGCTGGCCTCCACTCACTGTGTTAACCCACACCGGCTCAAACTTGCAACTCTTCTGCTTCAGCCTCCCAGATGTTGGAATTACAAGCATGTGTCACCACACACACGGCTTGAGAGAGACTTTTTAAGAGCTCTATATTCAGCAGTCAGTTTAATTGGAGCTGATATTTAGGATACACAGACACACATGGCCTCTGTGTAGAATCCTGCTTCTCAGACATCTGATACCTCCTTTTGGAAGCCTTGCTAACCAAACTCTCTGCTTCCTTTGTCCACTTTATCTCTTGCTGGCACTGCTTTATTTTTTTGTTTGGGGTGTGTGTGTGTGTTTTAATTGGGGATTGAACTCAGGACCTTTACACTAAGTTGCTAAACTGCCCAGCTGGGCTCCAACTCCAGTATCTCTTTCCTCATTCTCCCATGTGGCAGGATTATAGGTGTCCACCACCGTGCCTGGCTGCTGGAAGGACTTTTTACTTTAAAACTGACCAAATTTAAAAAGCTTAAAGGTCTTTTCCAGTAATACCAGTAAAAAGTTTTCACAGTATAAATTAGTCTTAATTTGCAAAAACATATTCAAAACATGAGTTATTGAGGCTCTGAAAACCATCCCCCAGAAGTGGCTCTGACATACTGAGAGGCCTTAAAAGGACCTCAGAATCAAGGTCCTGTTGAGTTTCCTTGTCTCCCTCTCAGCCTGCAGAGGAAAGCTTTCTGCCAAGTCCCCTTATCCACCTTAGGCCAAATCCCCCCAAAGAGGAGGCTCACCACTGCTTTTAGTTTTCCCACTGAAATTTCATTAAACACAGAAGACTAAACTAACATGGCAAGAAAACCTGAGGTCTGAGCCAGGCGTGGTGGCTCATGCCTGTAATCCCAGCACTCGGGAGGCTGAGGCAGGAGGATCATTGCGAGTTTGAGACCAGGCTGGGCTACAAACTGAGCTCAAGGCCAGCCTGAACTGCATAGCGAGACCGTCTCAAAAATAAAAAAAAATAAAAAAATAAAAAACCTGAGGTCTGCTAACATACCTGGACGCGTTTCCCATGACACTTCTCTCCCACCTGGTCTGTCCCCTGGGTAGAACACTCTCCTTGCTCCTACCCCTCCTCCCACACAAAGGGGTACAGGAACTTCGGAAGCACAGTGAGCCTCTGGGTAAAATACTGACTCTTCCCACAGATCTCTGTTCTCTAGTGAGTCTGTCAGTTTATTCCAGTGAACTTTCAGATGAGGAAAATATTTCCGTTGGTACAAAGCCAACATTTGTAAGCTATGTATCTGTCTTATGACTGAAATCCTTAAATAAAAGTTGTGGGACCTAGAGGGTGGGGATTTAGCTCAGCGGCATAAACACCTGCCTTGCAAGCAGCAGGTCTTGAGTTCAATCCCCGGTACCGATTTTAAAAAAAGCTGTGGGATCTTTGTTTCTGTGTATACTTTTAAGTATACATTTTATGTTTATATAATGCAAACTCTTCTATTCAAAATGGCTTAGAACATATGAACATTTATAAATTAACCTAAACATTTTTCCAATTCATATGACTTGGGTAAACCTTTGGTAAATAAGACTAGCTTAATTTTATTGGTTTAAGACAAGTGTATCTTCGGCCAGGGATTTAGCTCAGCGGCATAAGAGCTTGCTTTGCAAGTGCGTGCTCTAGGGTTTGATCCCCGGAACAAAAAGAGAGAGAGAGAGAGAGAGAGAGAGAGAGAGAGAGACACGCGTATCTGCCAGCAGATGTAAGTTTTCGTCTGAACCTGCACTTTTTTTTTGCTTTTTGCTTTTTTGTTTACCTGACCAACCCAAGGGAATGAGATGCTTTATCTGCCATTAAAAAAAGCAGAAAAACGTCAAATAACTTTTTTTTTTTTTTTAAGACAGGAATTCACTATGCAGTTCAGGCTGGCCTTGAGCTCACTTTGTAACCTAGGCTGCTCTTGAATTTGAAACAATCCTCCTGCCTCAGCCTCCGGAGTGCTGGGATTATGGGCATACGCTACCAAGCCCAGCTGCAAATAACTTTTTAGAAGTGCTTCCTAAGGTGTTTCTCACCCATGCTGGCTGATCAATTAACCAGACCTATCGACAAAGTTAAAGAAAATTTGTTATTGATTTCTCAGCATCCCTGGAAGACTTTTTTTCCCCCACAATTGCAGTGTTTTATTGTTTGCAGTGCTGGAATTAAATCCAGGGCCTCACACATGCTACGCAAGTGCTCTACCACTAAGCCCCATCCCCAGCCCCTGGGACTTCATTTGGAGGGTGGAGGTGGTAAATGAAGGTTAAACCCAGGACTTTTGCTTTGAGGTACATCCTCAGCCCATGTTTTGTTCACGTTGAGGCAGGGTCATCTTGTTAATAAGTTGCCAAGGCTAGCCTGAAACTTGTTTTGTTTTTTGTGTTTTTTTGGGGGGGGCGGGGATCAGGGATTGAACTCATGACCTTGTGCTCACCAGCAAGGTGCTTATGCTGCTGAGCTAAATCCCTGGCCCTGGCCCTGGTGGTACTCCTCCCTCAGCTTTCTATGTAAGTGGGATTTCCATGAAGCTGTGTGCCACTGCCCCTGGCTTCAGTCACTATACTTGCCATACATATTTATACAGCGCCATCAGGCCAAGTTTAAACAAGACTAAATTTATTTTGAAATATGCTGGACCTACTGATACTCTCTTGGCAAAAGTGGGAAGAGGGGTTGTAGAGATAAAAATTAGAATTCAGAAAATTGAATTTGTTTTAAATTGGACCCCAATGTTTACCTACCATTTGAATTGGACTCTAAATTTTTACTTCTCGTATGTGGCTACAAATGTCCAAACTAATGTTTCAAATTTCTTTTCCATTTTTCTGACATGGAAAAAAATGGAAAACTTTTTTCAAAAGATACAGTAGAGCAAGTTTTGTTAACTACCATCTCTCCTTCAGAGTATTTTGTTCTAGTTTTGCATAGTCTATAATTGCTTAGTATACTCCTATAAGATGACAATATCCAAGAAACCTGTGGACAAGTGACAAATTTTTTTTGGTTGGTGTTCCAAATAATTATTCTGGACTCTCAATTGCCCTAAAAACGCTTTATAAAGCAATGTCTCACCCAGCTCATAGTTATGCTTCTAAAAAATCTATTACAATTTGGCAGTCACCACAAACTGACTGAAAATTGCAACTTGTTGCTAACATTGCTAATTGCAAAAGTTGTCCTATAGTTAGGTCTTAAAAATTAAATTCAGAACATTAGCAAAAAGCCAGGTGTAGCCAGGCGTGGTAGTTCATGCCTGTAATCCCAGCACTCGGGAGGCTGAGGCAGGGGGAATCCCTGGCAAGTTCGAGACCAGCCTGGGCTACAAAAGTGAGTTCAAGGCTAGCCTGAACTGCATAGAGATCCTGTTTCTTTTTTTTTTTCACTGACGTTGTCATCTGAGAGAGAGATCCTGTTTCAAAAAAAAAAAAAAAAAAAACGAAAATCAAAAAACCCCAACCAAAGCAAATCAAAATTCTAGCAAAAATGTTTGTGGGCCAGCGATTTAGTTCAGTGGCACAAGCCCTTGCCTGAAAAGTGCGAGGTCATGTTAGTTCGATCCCCCACCAAAAACAAAAACAAAAAAAAACCCCTCATTCAAACTTGATGCAGGGATCCAATCTTGACAAAATTTGTCTGTCAAATAACAAGAAAAATGGGCTAACTAGAAAAATGGTACTCGCTTAAAAAAAAAAAAAAAAAAACTCGACTAATAAAAGCTGGCAATTATGTTCCAGAAACAGCCCATGATCTTTCCTAAATGTTGGTGTAAACTTGGCTTCAAAAAGTCAGTATTCTGACAAGGTCTCCAAGGCACAGGAAAACAAGAAAGATGAGTAACGCAGATCTCTCAGGAGGGGCCTCGGGCTAGAGAGGCTTTCCTTTCTCTAGCCTGCCCTTTCCTTTCCTTTCCTTTTTTTTTTTTTAATGGGTACCAGGGATCGAACTCACGACCACCTGCTTGCAAGACAGGTGCTTATGCCGCTGAGCTAAATCCCCAGCCCCCGCCCTTTCCTTTCTTTTGGGCCGGCCAGCAGCCGGACGAGGCTGAGAGCAGGCACAGATTAAATGCATTTCTTCGCAAGGTCAGCTAGAACCGTTCCACGGCGTGGAATAAATCAGACGTATCAAGGATACAACGGATTAGTCCCAGCACCGTGGGCGTGCAGAACCTCCAGTATAAAAAAAAAAAAAATGGGGCTGGGAATTTAGTTCAGCAGCATAAGCACCTTCCTGGCAAGTGCAAAATCGTGAGTTCAATCCCAGGTACCACAAAAAAAAAAAAAAAAAAAAAAAGAACGTCCGATATTGCAGTCGCAGATCTACCGGCGCAGGGTACCTCGGAAGTTGTAGTCCCAGCCCGCAGTTTCGAAGCACGCCGGGAGTTTGAGTCGCAGATCCCAGGGCGCGTAGTACGTCACAAATTGTGGTAGCGCCCAACTGGCGCAATGCAGGTCGGGAGTTGGAGTCGCAGCTCCGCCCGGTCCAGAAAGGAGCCTAAAGGGCAGACGTCAGCGGCCCCTACGCGCAGGCGCATAGCTCTTTCTGGGCAGCATGGCGGAGACTGTGCCGCCTCAACCCAAGAGAAAGCGCGAACAAGATGGGGAGGATGTGGAAGCCCCCAGCACGGAGGAAAAGAAAGCAAGTGTTGGAAATGGTACTTCTACCCCCGTCTGCTTACCGTTCTCTGGCTTCAGAGTGCAAAAAGTGCTGAGGGAGTCTGCGCGGGACAAAATCATTTTCCTACACGGGAAGGTACCACTGGGGCACCTGTGGGGTGGGGACGCGGGAGACGGGAACCAATCATCGCCGCGGAGGCGGATTTAACTTTCCCTATCCGGGCAGGAAACTACCAATCACATAATGGAGAAGGGGGGGCATCGCTGTAGTGGGCGGGGCGACAGAGTTACCCATGAAATAAAGGGGTAAATACACCTAGGCTTAATTTCCTAATCTTCCCTTCCCTCCACATATTTACTCATCTTTATAGAGTGTATCAGGTAAAAAGAAACACGTGTTACGTTCCTCATTCCCTCTATCATCCATCAAAATATAAATGTGCTAGGAATCCTGTCATTTTATGGATGTCTCCCTGGCCCCTGACCCAGGAGATGACGTTGAAGGTGAAAAAGAGGACCCTGCTTTACATTTCAGTAGTGCTAGAGATTGTTAAATTGGTAGTTCAGCCCGGCGTGGTGGCAGTGTAATCCCAGCACTGTGATGGAGGCTGAGGCTGGAGGATCACAGCGAGTTAGAGGCCAGCCTGCACTGCACAGTGAAACCCTGTTTCAAAACAAAGAAAAAAAATTGTTAGCCCAGTTCCACATTCGGTTACCAGGAAGCCAGGTTCTGATGCAGCTCGCAGCTCGCCCTTCACTTCCTTAGTTCTCATTTCTTTGTACCCTTGGTAAAAAGAATTCAGGCGAGACACATAATGGCCATGCAGAAGTATAGGTAGAATTTTATAGTGAAGTAGATACAGAGTGCGAGTTTGGATACATTTTTATGCACCCAAGTTGCTACTGGATCTTGGAGAATAGAGATAGTTACGTTTATCACCATTTTGCTTAGAGGCTACCTAGTAGTTGCAAAATTTCTTCCTGACCTTTTAAGGTTGTCATTTTTTCCTTGGGACTTTAATCATGTAGTAAATTTTGGAGAGACAAAGTTCTTAATTTATACCAGGTGGGAGTCCACAGCCAAGAGACTGTAAGAACATTTCTCTTCCTGATACCCCTGGGCTGTGGACTAAGACAGCCAGAGATGCAGTGTGTGTTGTTATGGAGTTAGCTGGCCAGGTAGCCAGGTATCAGAACCCACACAATGTGTAATTGTGCTCTGTGGGATCGTTGTGCTCTGTGGGATCACTTTGGGTTCAAGATCTAAAAAAAGATTACAAATGTACTATACATTGGCGTCTTTGTGTCTTTACCTCATTGACAAAGAATGCTATTTTGAACCCAGTCCTTTTGTCCAGGGCCATTGAAGTTTAACTTCATACCTAACAGTATTTTTGCATGTGCTGTGGGGCTGAGTAAATGTCGGGATGTAGAAATGAGAGTTAGCGCTCCCGATCTTCATGACTACGAGGCATGTGTGTGAAAACAGATGCTTTACTGACTTTAATACCACGTGCACTGCAGTCTAGCAAGGGCTGGGAAGAGAAGGAGACCATCCCAAATTGGTGAAGAAGCCTAGCCAATGGAAGTTTTGAGCGTTCCCCAGAACTACTAGCGGGACCTCATGTCTTTGGGAGAATCGTTCAGGCTGAGCTTCCGTGTCTCCTTCCGTGTCTGATTTTATTTACGAGGGCCCGCCAGGCATTCTCATTGCCACTTGTCTTCAGCGAGCATCCCCTGCTGACGATGTTAGATGTGACAGCCTTCCAGCTTAGTTTCTGTTTTAACAGTAACTGTCTGTAAAACTTGAGGCAAGTCACTTAATCCCTGTAGCTCTGTCTCTTCATCTTTTCTTTCACAGTGAGGAGGGATTAGAAAGCTCTTTAAAGCAAGGTAGACAGTAGCTGAGAAACTTTACATCTTTTGGAAGAAGGGTCTAAGGGTGGCCGCAAGAATTCAGGTGAAGATCCCTTGTCTGAGAGAAAAACCTGCATGACATTGCTTAAGCTTCTCTAGAGGGAGACTTCAGAGGAGACGCCAAGTGCTGGGATGTCCTGGGCCCTGGGAGCTTCTGCCTGTGTTCTGTGGTTGCCCTGCGGTTCTGCACTTGGCTTCACTGATGGTGTCTCTGCCCACAGGTGAATGAGGACTCTGGGGGTGGGAATGGAGAGGATGCAGTTGTGATCCTGGAGAAGACACCGTTTCAGGTGGAGCAGGTGGCCCAGCTCCTGACCGGCAGCCCTGAGCTCCAGCTGCAGCTCTCCAATGACATCTACAGCACCTATCACCTCTTCCCTCCAAGGCAGCTGAGTGGTGAGCGTGTGGTGCTGATGTGGCTGCAGGGTGGGGTGGAGGGCACCGAGATGGGAACTAGGCTGTGGTCACCTGACTGTAGACCGACTTGCATATTCTAGGGTTTGTTCTGCAGAGAACATCTGGCAGTCTCTGAGGACAGTTTTGGTCGTCAGTGCTGGGGTGTGCCTGCTAGTGATGCCTTGTGGGTGGAGGCCAGAAATGCTGGGAAACCTGTAAAGTGCAGGGCAGGCCCCACAACAAAGATCTATTTGCAGTGCTGAGGCTGAAGAACCCTTGCAGGTGTCTGTTTTGGGAAGGAAATGTGCATCATGGGGCAATAATAGATTCATCGGCTCATTAACAATAACTGGAAATAATTATAAACACTTATTGAACTCTTATGAACTCTTACAAACGAGTGTGCCAAGCATTCTACATGTATTTACAGACTTAACCCTCAAAATAGCCCTTTTGCTAGAGGACTTTACAGTTGCAAAAACAGGTTTGTTTGTTAGCTTTTTAATTTTATTTTGGGGACAGGGTCTTTTGTGTGGCTCAGACTGGCCTCAGACTCACTGTCTAGCCAGTGTTGACCTCAGATTTGTAATCCTTCTGCCTCAGCCTTCCAAACCGTGGGATTATAGGTGTTACCCCCACATCTGGTGAGGAATCAGGTTTTGAGAGGTGGGTTGAGTAACTTGTCCAGAATCACAGTCTGTAGGTGATGCTCTCACTTGACCGTACTTTTAGACTGCCCCAGGAGTGCACTGGGGACTGCAAAAGTGGTCACTTTCCCAAAGGTACTTACTTTCTGGTGGGGGAATAAACAGTACGATGGAGCAGGATGGACTTGAGGACAGGAACTCATCGGTTATAACAGAGATTTGTTTTTGATTGCATGTGTTTTTTTAGTGTACCAGAAAGAATACTCCATGCCCAAAAGCCAGGCATGCCATGCACTCTTTTTTTGTTTGTTTCTAGATGGTTCGGTTTCATAGGCAGCTTTGCTGGACAGGTAGGCAGGCTGGTTGACTAATGGTTCTTGCCGCCAGGAAACCGGGATGTGTTTGGTGTTGTGTCTTACCCTCTGTGTTCCGTGTTTGCTCTCCAGCGTTTGGGAACGATATGGCTTTGCAGATATCCTGCTCGTAGTCTTTGTCATAGCTAAGTCTTTTTTGCGCCCTCATGAACGGGCTCTGTTGTCCTTTGCAAACATACGTGAACGCCTGGTGTGAGACAAACAGGTCTTTCACAGCAGAAAGCAGAGCAGCCTGGTCTTCCCCAGAGGGAGCCAGATTCATCCGTTTGAGTTGACAGAAGTGGACAGCTATATTTACCTTCTCAGGCTGTGACATTTAAGCAGTGTATTCCTTCACACGGTGGCAGAAGCGTGACGAGAAGGCGCTGTAGTCAGACACTGTTGCTACAGACCCATCACAGGCTCCAGAGCCAATTTCGTTGCCACACCCTTGCTCCTGCCTCCCCTGCATCTTCCACCTCCCTCCCCTACCTCCTCCCCAGCCAAATTTAAACAGTTTTGTTGCACCATTTTGCTGCTCCGAAGCTGTCCTGAGGTTCCTCTTTTACTTTGGGGGTACTCGTGCTGCACTGCACACAAATGGTGCTGGTCATCACGCTCTCTTTCTGTTTTTTTTCCCAAGATGAACTCAGAAAGAGGCTACCACCTACTAGGGACCCCCCAGAACCCCATGACCCACCTCCCCAGCACCATTCCTGCCCCCCCTGCTACTCAGACGGGAGCTCTCTTTCCCCGCCTTCTCCACTCCCACTAGGCCTTAGGATTTAGAAGGCACAAAGCAGTTTACTTTGAGGACTGGTCCTTGCCTCTCCTTTGTTTAGCTGTGTTCCCTGCCTCTGGGTGACTTTCTAGAGTAGAAGTTGGCAAAATTTTTTTTGGTAAAGAACCAGGGTAGCCGGATGCGTGGTGCACACTTGTAATCCCAGCCATTTGGGAGGCTGAGGCAGGAGGATTGCAAGTTCTAGGCCTGAGTGGGCAACTTACAGATATCCTTAAATAAAATTTTGAAAAAATAAGTACGTAAAGCTGGAGGATGTAGCATAGTGCCCACTGGGCAAATCTTAAGTCTAAAAAAACAGAAGTGAATATTTTAGGCCTCGTGAGTCACAGATGGTCTCGGACTCCTCCTCATCTTTTCTCCCTTCTCCACCCCTCTGAAGCTCACCCCTGGCTAGCTGTTTGTACACACACAGGCCATGGCTTGGGTAGGACCTGCTGGTCATAGTTCATCAATATCTGTCCCACACTTTTACTACCCAGTAGCATGAATACCTCCAAATCCCTGCCTCTGCTCCCCAGTACAGACCGAGAGTCTGCCTGTTAGAAAATTCCCATGCAGGTGACATACACAATTAAGCTTCAAGAGGGCTTTAAAAATACCACTTGCAACCAGTTGCAGTGGCACAAGCCTGTAATCCCAGCACTTGGGGGGCCTGATAGGGGAGGATCACAAGTTCGAGGCCACCATGGGTACACAGTACATAGTAGGTCACCCTGGGCTGCACAGTGAGACTGTACCTCAAAACAATAACAATAACAACAGCAGAAAGGCCATGCCCGCCTTTGTGATTCCATCCCAGGCTTCTGAGAATCTCTAGTTTATACTGGTATTTCCATGGAGGCTTTGTAGATGCTGCGCAGGTGAAATGCGAGAATCAGTGGGGACCTTACTCAGAAGTACTTAGCCTGGGGCTGGGGATTTAGCTCAGTCGCATAAGCGCCTGCCTTGCAAGCAGGCAGTCGTGAGTTTGATCCCTGGTACCGATAAAAACGAAAAAGACAAAAAAAAAAAAAAAAAAAAAAGAAGTACTTAGCCAGTTACTACTTAGAGGTGGGCCGGGGTATAGCTAGGCAGCACAGCGCCTGCCTTGAAAGCATGAGGTCCTGAGTTTGATTCCCAGTATCAATAGGTGGATAAATGAATAGATAGAGACAGCATTATTTTATTTTATTTTATTTTATTTTATTTTATTTTATTTTATTTTATTTTTTGTCTTTTTGAGACAGAGTCTCTCTATGCAGTTCAGGCTGGCCTTGAGCTCACTTTGTAGCCCAGGCTGGTCTTGAACTCGCACCGATCCTCCTGCTTCAGCCTCCCGAGTACTGGGATTACAGGCGTGAGCCACCACGCTCTACTGGAGGCAGCCATTATTGTTCTGCTGTGCTGGGCCTTACATGAGGTATGGTAGCTGCAGGGCTGAGTAAGATGCCATCCTTGCCCTCAGACATGCTTGGGGCAGTGGGTGGAAAGATGGAAGTTAGGAGAAGAGAGGAGGGTTCACCCCTACCTGGTGGAGAGGCAGAAGTCTTTGAAGGTGGGAGCCGCCTGAGACCTGGCTCCAAGCCCAGCAGCCAGATAAGCACGGGCCTCCGAGTGGTGCTGAAGGACCCCAGAAACTGTCACGCGGACTCTATCCCGTGGGTCAGGCCTTCCACAGCCACAAGGTGGCAGTGTTGCCATAGTGTCCCGCCGTAGGTGCCTCTGCCCTCTGGGCTTGGTTGGAACCTGCCAAGGCCTTACCCTCTTGTCTGAATCACAGCTTAGTGCTGCCCACTTGAGGCACCCTGACAGGCAGTTGCTGTGCCCTCAGCCCTCTGTGGCCCCTGCCCAGCTGCTGCCTTGAAGTTTTGGGTAGTTTGGTTCTTTTACAGTGACTTCCTTGCCTGGGGCATCTTCTATGCTTTATGTGGCTGCCCCAGCATAGATCTTGTGCTCTGCTGGATTTTTTTGGTATTTCTCTAGTCACTAGCCCATTTGTTTTTCAAGTCTGAAAGTTTTCATGACTCTCAGTCATTTATTTCCTCCAGATTTTCGACTGACCACAGGAGGCTAGCCCTGGGAGCCATTCCTCACGTGCCAAGGAACGAGCCTGGGGACTTAGCAGAGGCAGGCACTGGGGCAGTGACACACAGTTCCCCAGTTTGGGTACAGCACGGGGTGAAGAGCAGGCCTCAGGCCAGCCATGGGCTGGATGCTGGACCTCACTTACCTCCGTGGGGACCCAGCTCTTGCAAGCGCCTGCCTGTGCATGGGGCTGCTGGCCGCTGGATCTGATTGGTGGGGACAGCAGAAATCAGTGCCGTGCCCAGAGCTGTGGAGAGGGAGGCGGGCAGCAGAGGAGGAAGCAGGGCTGCACGGCCCGGGGTCCAGGGAATTGACACCCACGCACAGACCTGATGGCTGCAAGGAACCAACTGTGTAAGAGGTAGTGGGAGGAGCAGGAACAGGTTCTGGCTTTGCAAACTGCACAGGGTATGGGCAGGAAAGGGGAACGGAAAGGAGCTGTGATGTCGGGCACAAGGGCAGGAGCGGTGGCAGGTGTGGGGTACAGAGGAAGTTGGGGAGTCACTTCAGCTATGTTTTCTGTTAGATTGTTAAGTGATGAGCAGACCTCAGTGGGGTGGTTATGAACCAGATAAGCAGCTGGATTGCGGCAGCCTTCAGCCTTGCCCTCAGCGAGTAGATTTTACATCGAGACCCAGAGCACATAAATATGTGGAAATCTTAGCGAAACGGAAGTTTCACAATACAAAACGACCTCACAGGATACTTTCCAGTGTTTTCTACTTCATTACAGTTTTACCTGTTTCCTTTGTTAGATGTTGGTCTTCACCTCCTAAACTGACTTCTTGGCCTCTGCCATGGGTTACAGCCCACTGAGATAGGTGTGTAAGCTCCTGGCATCGCAGCTGGCAGGTATTGTCAGTGTGTTATTTTTCTATCTTCCCCATGACGTAAATTTGGGGAGCAGTGGCTGTAATTCAGGGCTAGGATAGGTTTTCTCGCTTTCTCCTATTGCCAGGTGGCAAACCCAAGGAAACTGGGCCAGATGGCCAGCAGCAACTGTGACTGCAGTCCGTGTGCGGCTTCTGCCACCCAGGTGGGGCGGCCTCGGCTCCTCTTGGTGTCACAACTCTCAATGGAGCCCTTTCATGAGACCTCTGTTTTCTCTTACCTGGGGAAGGAGGTGGGGGAGAT